TAAAAAATGTAAAAAAATAGGTTTTTGTGCTATTTATAACGAGTTGTATATTTAAAATAGAAGAAAACCCATATGAGGTTGTCTCTGAAATATTGTTCTCTATAAATTTTATAATAGGTATTTTTTCTCTAAAATCATTTTTTAATGCTGTTTTGTTTGTTTTCCGTAAACATGTTTATGTTGTTCGAATTAATTTTCATTGCCGTAATGTGCTGCCACCTGCCTGCCGCTGCGACGTCGGCCGCAATTTCCCTCCACTACTCCAAAAACTGAATTTCCGATACGACGATCGCGCGGCGACGGTCTGCCGATGGTTATCGGACGTTTCCAGGAATAGACTGAACTAATATAGACAATATCATAAGCTAATAACCTCGGTATAAACTATAATGTAATAAGAATTATTTTTATTTTTATTATAATAATCGGCATTGATGATTGACAGCATACGATCTACCAACTCTTATTTGTATTATTATTTTAATTTATTATTATTATTATTATTATTATTATTATTATTATTATGTATTACGGACATAATAATATTTTCAGATGATAGGTACTAGGTACCTACTTCAAAAGTTCAAAGTATGCATTATTTGTAGTAATTCAAGTATATACTACCTAAAAAAAATCTGTGTTTTCCTACAGAATTTAGTTATAAATTATAATGGTATACCTATTGCTGGTAAAAAATATATCTTAATATCACAAATGGTCAAATATGCACTTATAAATGAAATATGATCAAATATGTAAAATATGCAGCAATACATTATGATTATAAACTCATATTGCTATGAAACAAATTTCTATAATACTCAAGACTCAACTATGTTTTGAATGATTATTGAACTCCTAGAAGTCCCTAGCCCTAGACTCATTACGAATTGTGATAGCGAAAGTCATAATATGAGACTAATTATAGTAAGTTATATTTTCAATAATTTGTACAAAAATAAACATTCATTTTATTTTTAATTTACTTATGAAACACATTACACAACCGTCACAACCATTCCTCAATCCTCCTGGGTATGTGATCATTTCTTCGGGGTTTCTGTGTCATCGTATTCAAATTCTTATTGTGAATTTTGTGTTTTAAATAATTATTTTCCATTTTTTTGACAATGGCAAATAAAGAAAATAATCTAAAACGGAAACGGTCATCTAAAAAAAAAATCTCAAATTCTCTGGTACTACGAAGATACAAAAAAATAAAGTAAGTATCTATTAATATAAATTATATTAGAAATTTAAATACTTTATTTGTATGTTTAAACGTTTATAGTAAATTAAAATAAAATAATAATATTTTGGGCTCTACGCCTCTACCCATTCAATAATTAAATCAAAATAATTCTATTATCCTTTACAAAAAACAATTCTGTTGGGGTGGATTAACACCCCCGCCACTACAGATGCCAATATATATAACTATATTTACTTATTATAATTAGCAGTAGACACTCTTGTTTTCATAAAAATAATACCTTGGAAATAAATAATTTTGTTTTTAGTACCCCCCAAGAAAATGTGGAAAATGTGCACTGACGGCGACGATCTGTCAGCCTAAGATATTTTATATTGGGTATATTATTTACGTTTTTATATCTTTTATTTTTAAATTAGGACAGGTTGTTGATTGCATACTGCAGGTTAAAATAACATAAAAATATTATGAAAATCTCATTGTCAATAATTCAGTATTAAAATACGTACTTCAAATTACATATTTTAATTAAAGTCAGAACAACTTATGTGAATTCGTGAACCGTACCTAGTAAACTTTCAAGTACATTGACTGTTCATAAACATTTATAAAAAAAATTGAATACTTCAAAATACCTATATAAATTATAGCTTATAAATAAACGAAATATTTTGAAAAATATTTACTTTGTAAAGAGAATACAAATTTAAATAACTTTAAAAAAAGGTCTTAAACTAGATTCCATGGTTCATACTGTAAAAAAAAATATATATGCACTGATTTTTTTACAGTTATTTTAAGTTCAGATTTGTACCAATTATTATTATTAAAGCCAAGAATGACGATTTTAGCTATTTCGTTGTAATTTAAAAATTTTATTTGATAGGCACTGATATTTTTTCATTCCAACCGATTTTTTTCACAGATTTCCGCTGATGTGGTTACAACTAAATTTAAACCTAGCCTAACCGTGTTATACTAATATAAATATCATATCAAAAAATTTCCTAGGCTGACAAACCGTCTCCACTCAGACACGGTTTTCGTACAAAATAATATTATTATATAGGTATAAGTATAGGTATATACTTGTCACCTTTTTTTATATTTTAGTTTTGAAGTTTTACTTCTAGGTTAGGTTAGGTAACCTAACCTAAGTCTTATTATTTTAAAAATTTAAAAATTGAATTATAATTATAGCTCAAACACTATTTTACCCGATTTGAGTGTTGAAATAAATGTTCCACCAAATGATGTTGGTAATGATTCAGGAATTGTGTTGAGTAACTCAAATACTCCAGAATGTTCAACCTCAGTAAAGTAAGTCCTATTGTTTTAAAAGTCTTTGTTATTGATAAAAATTCAAAAATTTAACTATATAGTTCAAACGCTATTTTGTCTTATTTTAGTGTTGAAATCAATATTCCGGCAAATGATGTTTTGAATGACTCAGGTATTGTGTTGAGTAACTCAAATACTTCAGAATGTTCAACTTACATGAAAATAGCTGAAACTTTGAGCGATGAAGTGAAAGAGACTGCTTGGAATGTAATGAAACTTGCCGGAATAGAGGAAAGACGATTAGCATTAGAAGCAGGCGACGTAGATGAAGATGGTATACCCATGTGCCCAGTTATAGCTGATGGTCAATGGAGCAAACGTAGCTATAAGACCAAGTACGACGCATTTTCAGGAGCGGTAAGTAAAGTTATGGTTGTAAACATTGGCACCAGGGAAAGGGGGAACTGGGAAAATATCTTGGGCATAATTTGGAGGGAGTACAAGTTGACATACCTGTGCATTTTGCGTCTTAACTAGAGAAAGGACTTTATTATAATTTAAATATTTTATCTAATAATTATTTTTCATATTTTTACATAGGTATTTGGTTACAAATACATTTTTTACTTTCTATGTACCTATGTATATTGTATATGCTGTTTCTTATTGCTACACTTAAAAATTACAATAGATTTATAATTTTAATAATTGTACCTACTACATTTTTTTTTTAATTTGTATATTTCGAAAAAATCCGTTCCCTATAGACCCTAATAATAAATTGTCATAATTAATTTATAAAAACAATTTTAAATATAAATTGATATTTTTTATTCCCTTAGCCCCCTTCCATATTTAAATTTGTACTGTTTTTTATTTTTAAAATATTAGGTATATTATAATTATTATATTATTGTAGGCTACAATTATCGGTTTTCGGACAAAGAAAATTTTATTTGTGGGAATTCGTAATCGATATTGTGTTGTCTGTGAAAGAGCCAAGAATATGGGCCAAAGTTCAAAAGCTCATAAATGTTTTATGAACTGGTCTAAAGGCGCAACCAGCATTGAAGCAGACGCAATAGCTGTAGGATTTTTAAGTAGCGTAAAATTGCATGGATTGAAGTATAATAAATTGATTGGTAAGTATGAAAATTATAAAAATATTTATTTAATTTTATAATTAATATGTATTATTGTTGCATAATTTAAGGTGATGGTGACAGTAGTGTCACTAAACGTCTGAATGAAATATTGCCGTACGGACCACGTATGTTGGTAGAAAAAATAGAATGCAGGAATCATATATTGAGGAATTATGGGAAAAAATTAATGGCACTTACAAAAAAAACCTCTTATCCATGTTACATTCGAAAATTCATTATAAGAAATATTATTAGATTCCGTACGGCAATTACAAAATCCATACAATATCGTAAAAAGTTGAATCAGTCTCTTTATGAACAAACTGAAGGTATTTATTCGTTTATATAGGTACATTGTTTGTTAATGAAACATATATTTTATATTTATTCTTTACTTATTTTTAGGTTTACGAAAAGATATTATAAATGGGCCGTATCATATTTTTGGACAGCATACAGATACATTGTGTGAAAAATATTTTTGTCGTGGCCCAAAAGAGTGCGAAAAAAATTTAGTTCCAGAAATAGTGAAATGCGGTCTCATGAATGAAATGTCGGCTATTCTTCGTCGTGTAATCGATAATGCACGTAGTTTATTATTTGATGTTGACAATAACTACTGTGAGCAGTTTAATAGCGTCATCAACAAATATATTGCTGGTAAACGAATAAATTTCACCCAAAAGCAATCATACAATACTAGGGTCCATGCAGCTATTGTATCATTCAATTCGGGTGGCCAATTTATTCGCGAAATCCATAAAAAAATTACGAAAAAAAGTCCAGGTACCTATATAATTTTTTTACTCAAAAATACTCTTTTAAATACTCTGTAATATATTTTGTCTATTTTATTTAACTATAACTACCTATATTATAAATTATTTATTATTTAACTTAACTATTTTTTTATGCTTTAATAGGAATCATTGGGAAAAAATTTTTAAAATATACTAGAGACAAAACAAAAAGTCTGAAATATCGAAGAGCTCTCTTTGTTTCAAAAGGTGATAAACAAAAAAAAAAAAATTTCAAACGGGCCAGATGAAAATTATGGATTGGCCGAGCCATTAAATGACTTTTTATCTGACGAAGAATTTAAAATTAAAAAGCTTGAATTTATACAGTCAATAACTCTTTCGGAGGCATCTAAAGTACAGTTAGAGTTAGAAACTAGGAACCAAGCAAAAAATCAAAGGTGGTTTGAGGAACGAAGAAAACGATTATCGGCGTCAAATTTTGGAAGGGTGTGCAAAATGAGACCTTACACTTCATGTAAAGTAACTGTACATAATATACTTTATGGTTGTATAAACACCAGTGCTACAGAATATGGTATTCAAACTGAACAACAAGCACTTATGCAACTACAAATAGAAATTAAAAAAAAAATTAATAAATGTGGTCTATTCGTCGACAAAAATATTCCATTTTTGGCAGCAACTCCAGGTGAGATTGTTTATAATTTAGTTTATTATAGAGTTTAATTTAATGTTATGGAAAATAATAAATATTCATTTGAGCCTTTATGAATACATATTTTATTAATATATATGTATACCTTGGATCAGCATCGATTTCACATACTCTATTGGATATAATATAACTAAATAAATATTCTTCAATTGCAGATGGTTTAATAGAAGACGATAAACTATGTGAAATTAAATGCCCTTATTCTGTTTGAGATTATTGTAGTCTAGAAAAAGCTATTTCGGACAAAAAGGTAATGTATATGCATTTATTAAAATTTTAACAATTAACGGATTAGAAAAATATAAATAATTTATTCTTTGGAAATAACTATAAAACAAATATTAATTATTATGTAATATACATTTATATATTCCCATTTCAGCTTCCTTATATGAAAATTAAAAATAATTTACCGACTTTGAAAAAAGAAAGTCATTATTTTTACCAGATCCAAGGTCAATTACATGTGACTGAACGTAACATTTGTTATTTCTTTATATACACTCCAAACTGGAATCACTTAGAAATAATAAAATATGATGACGAATTTTGGTCCTCAAAAATGGAATCAAGCCTAAAGTTGTAAGTTGTACTTACAGAATAATTATGTTCTATTTGTCTATATTCAATAAAGTCTATTGAATATTTATTAATAAATACGTCTATTGGTTTATAAAATATTAATTTATCTGAATTTTAAAATTTACTTATATTATTTTAATTTAGATTCTACGAAGAGTGCTTGTTAAGAGAGCTAATTGACCCTCAGTTCATTAAACGTATGTTGAAAAATGATATAATTGAACCTCCACATATCATACAAAATATTGAAGAATTCAAAAAAAAGAAATCAATAAAAAATTAATCAATACTAAATTCTAAAATTCAAATCTATATTATTTTATCTATTTCGTTAATAATAAAAATAAATTAAATTATTTCTAATAAATTACGCTGTATTTATTTATTTTGTTTAGATATTATAAAACTATATTTTACTATAGCCTATAGGTAGGTATTAGGTATATTTCAATAAGTAATAATGCAATAAATACAAATCAAGCTATGTTATAATAAAGTTTATACGATCTTTATATTGGTACAATGGTACATATATTTAGATAAACAGTGACTTAAATTATAATCGTTAGTTTATAGGTACGTGTGGAGATTTAAAATATTACGGCAGTAATTACGCGAATGAATTTTATAATGACGCGAAAGGTACGAACGTTCATACAATAATAAACGGCGCTCCAGAACGAAACTCGTCAGCCCGGAGACGGAAACGTTGTACTGCGGTGCGAGGAGGAAGAGGAGGAGAAGGAGGAGAAGGAGGAGAAGAAGATGGCCACCAGTGGAGACTTCGAGGTCGTCTTAGACGAAGGAGCTCCGACCGAGGATGGGGTGAAGATCGACGAACCGGCAACACAAGCTGCAGTGTCTTCACGCGGGCGGGTAAGGCGATTGGCGGCCGCCGCGTGGAGAGGAGTGAAACGGGCCGGACGTTCAGTAATTTGCCTGGGTTGCTGAAAAGCGTCCTCCGAACCCGACACCTTGGTCGAGAGCAGCAGTCAAGACGAAGCGATGTGGGGATCGAGGTATATGAGGTATGTGAAAGTGCACTTCCGGGGTGATCGGCAGAAGGTCACCGACACACGTTCTCCGACCACCGGCGGCAGGGACACGGGATCGCGGACGTCCGGAGACGCTCTGGAAGCGTGGCGGGCCCCGGCCGCTTCGGTCCGAAGGCGACGACGACGACGACGACACGACGAGCTGGCTAGCTGTACCTGTGGTACCTGCACTTACGGTACGACTGCTGCAGCGTTGCACCGCGAAGGCTACTCGCGACGGTGTCGACGGAAACCGCAGAGCGCAAGTCCGGCGAGTGACGGACGACTTTAATTATTATTATCGTACAGTGGCTAGGGACCGTATAATAATAATATTTTAGCCTTCGTCGCTAGCTCCGACGAGCCTCTTTGGTGACCGTCTTCGCTGTCACCACAGTCGTCTTCGGCACCTGCAGCACAATATCTATAGTGCACGTCATCGCGCACTAGCCAACCGTCGCCGACCGTCATCGCCGCTCTCGCAGCCGTCGTGGTCGGGTTCCGCCCGCTTCCGTAGTCGTCTTCGCTTCCTCGAGGAAACGGGCCCGCGACTCTTGCCTCCCCCCCCCCGCAGGACCGGCCGCAAGAACGTTGTGGAGGTGACCATCTTCTGCACCACCCACTCGCCATCACGTACCCCCCCCCCCCCCCCACTTGGCCTCGTCTTGACTGATATCTTTTTTTTTCTCACAATTGATTGTAATTTATTCTGCCACTTTTGAGCACCTTTTAATTTGTGTTAATATCACTGTTTACTGAAATTTATTCTGCCACATTGAGCACATTTTCATTTTTTTTTAACATTATTATTCCAGTTTTTTTGCCACGTTCAGCACCTTTTTTGTTGTTAATATTATTTTTTTTTTTTTAATTGATCTTTTAAAGCCCGGCGACTATGGCCATTAGCTGATTGTAGGGGTTTTTATAAATGTAGGTTGTAGGGTTGTTACACGTGTGTGTTGTGTTTGGCAGAATTTCTATTGGGGCACCTGTAAGTTTCTGCCATGCCCCGGAGTGGGGGATGGCGGCACTTGTTCTCCGGACACCGTGACTTGCCCGGAGAAAAATGCCGCCCAGTGGTCGAGAGAATCGAACCCGCGACCGCCAGCGCCGCAGACGACGTGTTCGACCGCTCGGCCACCTCGTCCCCCTGTTAATATTATTGCTTCTGTTTTTTTTGCCACATTGCGAGCATTTTTCCTATTTTTCTTTATATTGCTTATAAATTATTTTCGGCATAAATGTTTCAAAATTTTAAAGCACTCGTTAATTATATATCATTTATAATATTATTGAATTATCATTTATCTCACACCTCTTGTTTTTTGTTTTTTTTTCAAAATTATAAAGCACGGTGTTTAAATTTTAAAAATGATATTATTTTTATACTTGATATTATTTATTACTGTATTCAAATTATTATTTTAATTTATATAATAAAATTGTTATATTATCTATAAATTATACAGTGATAAAATTATATTTTTTATACAGTAAAATGTTGTTATTTTTATATTTTTTGTATTAAACGGTAGGTTCGATTTTATTTATTACAACAGAAAAATGATTGATGAACATGATCGTGGTCATGTGGGACCTATGATGAATATTAACCAATATATTTTTGGAAACCAAACCTCAAAAAAATATTATATTGAACGTTTTGTCCTCGCGAAAGTATAATTGCAAAATATTGTCATGCAACATATATGCACATTGCACACATTATTGTAAAATCAATAAATTCATCGCCCGGCTAAGAGTCTAAAATAATAATAATAAAAACTATTGTTTTCGATGTTGTTGAAAAAACACCATAGTACATCACATTGTGCAGTTTACGTAAAATTAGGTACTGCGCTGACCCGTCCATCGATCCACAAGTGGTCTGACGAATCCCGGAATAAAAATCCCCCAGAAAAAAAATCCCCGGAAAAATAAACCCCCGACGAACAACCCCGGAAAAAAAATCCCCGACCCTAGGAAAAAAAATCCCCAGACTACAATATTACTCACAACCTCATGCAAATGGTTGAACAAATATTTTTTTAACGTTAATTAGTATCTATAATTACGTGTTCTTCTTTTGTCAATTCTAATAATATTGCATGTGGTACATTACTCATACAGACTCAGCAAATATTTGACTCGGTGTTGCATGTGATATTGTGCTTTTTTCTTTATTGTATTTTGTAATTTTAAAGCAGCGACTGCATTTTTATTAGAATCATGTACATGGTCATGATCAAGACCAACGAATATTGGATTTTCAATATTTAAACTAGTCTTAAGTACACTCGGACATTTTAAAGAGCTAAATTTAGAACATCGCCAACGTAAAAAATTTGAACACTCTTTTTGAAAATGATAAATAAAGCCGATGAGCGTAATTTTAGGTTTTTTACCATTAGTTTTTAAAATTTCCAGCGTTTCCATAGCGTTGTCGTTTTGTGTATCGTGTACTAAATTTGTAGCTAAATTTGTAGCTAAGATAACGAGTATCCAAATTATGTTCTTGAGCCCATTACAGATTAGATAGGTAGGTGTATAACCTTTTACCTTATAATATATATTATCAAAGGTACATACTAAACCGCTTATCGTCAAAATGTCACAGAAAACGCAATATTTTATTTCGGGGATTCAATTTTTACAGAATTATACCAACATAAAATATATAGGTACCTATATTTTGTATAATATTTTTGTATACTATGTTTTTAACTGTATTATTAATTGACGTATCGATCATTCTAAATATTTTTATAATTTTTTTAACAATATAATATAATATATTATATTATAATAGAATATAATATACGTATTTGTCATTAAATATTAATTATAGATACTAATTAACGTTCAAAATATATTTGTTCAACCATTTGCATGTGATTGTGAGGAATATTGTAGCTGGGGATTTTTTTTCCGGGGTTTTTCGTCGGGGGATTTTTTTTCCTGGGATTTTTATTCCGATTACCGGTCTGACGATCGTATCCGCATACGCTGTGAATTATGACGATGATTCATGTTGTGTACACAATGGGATTAGTTAAAACATTCAGAACTCTATAAACTAATTTTTAATTTACATTTAACATATAATAAGCAAATAAAAATTGAAATAAAAAAAACACACACACACTTCTATATACACTAGATAGTAACATATTTTGTTGATGAGGCGAATTATTAATCGATAAGTAAAAAAAAACGCAATATTTTAGGTATGCACTGAACGTCATTTGCATCGCCGAAGATATTATTATATAGACGTCGTAGACCAGACTGGTTCTTAAACTGTGGACCACAGCGGTGGTTCTATCTAAAATTAAAATACTACACGACTTACAGAGTACCTACCATAGACGTATAATATATTATACGTCTATGGTACCTACCTACGTGTAATAATATCTGAGAATTCTGTAAGAGTTGATAAAATACGGTAAAATGTTAATGAAGATTATTCACCAACAACATTGTATGCACAGATAGATGTTATTCGAGATAACAATTAAAAATATTATGTATTTTATTTCATACTAAGTAAGTCAAGGTCACATACCTTAGGTACCTACTATTCAACTGTATAGATATTATTGTAACGGGACAAACGGAGTGCCCATTTAGGTGGCGCACTCTCGTGGCCCGTTACCACACCTCAACGTCAAACACGACCGCGCGCTCTTACGCCGCCCGCAAGTACAAAAACACCAGCGAACGCACACAGGCAACTGCGCGCCGTTACCGCAGATAGCGCTCCACGCACACCACCATTTCCGGACGCCCGCCGCCCTCCGGGAAATCGCTCATAACCACGGACTGGAAACGAACCTTTATCATTTGATACAGATCTGTTACGGAAAGTCAATGAGCGATTGTAGCGCTATCTATTAGTTTTATATTACAAAATTGAGTAAGTCACTGAATACAGTAAAATCCAAATACAAAATACTATTAAGTATTAAATATATAAAATAATTTAATACAACTATTAAAGATCCAAAATATGTAATTTTAACATAAAATTTGATTTGAAAAAAAATCATCAGGTATATAATTTTATTCAAAATCTGGTTTTAATTAATAGTGCACTTTCTTAAAAAATATGTACCTATAATATTAACCCATAGATATTGAGTTATTTTTCAACTTATTTAAGTTTATTAATTGTTATAAACTTCACATAGTACCTATTAAGACATTAAGTATTAGTGAACATCTTATATTTATTTTATTGTGTTAA